TTTGCTATGATAATCTGGCGCTTCTGAATCAGCGACTGTAAGTATGTTTAAGTATTTGCTATTGACTGTTCAAATGCGGAGTTTTGTGCATCGTGTGTGTGTGTGTGTGTGTGTGTGTGTGTGTGTGTGTGTGTGTGTGTGTGAGAGAGAGAGAGACAGCGTCACATCACAGTAGAGTCAGCTGTCTTAACCGCGGCTTGTGTACTGCATCATTACTGTGTCTGTTCCCCTTTCGGGCTTGAACTGATGGTAAAGGTATTATGGTAAGGGGCGTTACATTTCCGACGAGTGCTTGCGGTGTTCGGCCAATCACAATGCACTGGGTCAGCTGGCCAATCAGAGCAGACTGCGCTTGTCGGAAGGAGGGACTTTGTAGAAAACGAAGCGTTTGAGAGAGGCGGGGCATAGAGGACCTACAATAATGTACAGTATTTGAAAAATAATGTGTTTTTTGAACATTAAAGCATGTCAACATATTCTGTTACACCAAATACACAAAATAATGATCTTTAAAAAAGCATCATATGACCCCTTTAAGAAAGTCACTTTATGTTGATTTTAATTTTATTTCTTACCGAGCAGGTCTCCATGCACCAAAGCCAGCAGGTACCACAGCATTCCGAAGGTGAACCAGGTTCCCACAAACGTGGCACTGAACAGAACCAGTTTGTACCTCCACTGCATGTCCACAAAGGTGGTCCAGGGGTCACGCAGGTACAGAGCGCCACGCCCACTCACGTGCTCGATGCGGACGTTGCTCCGCCCATCCTTGGTTAGAACCCGCCTCCGGCGTGCCACCTGACTCCAGTGCCCCGCCCCCCCGAGTAGGGGCTTTAGGATGTCTGTCTGTGTCTGGGAGTGGCACACCTTCTGAGGGGCGGGGCTGTGAGAAGAAGGGGGTGTGGCCGACATCATCTGGAGAAGAAACTTTTTTTTAACTTTTTTTTTCTTTAGTAAAGTATTAAGTTGTTTACATTCACATTAACATGTATGCATTTGGCAGATGCAGTAAAATGTGAAATTTTTTGTATGGTATGTTTAAATATGCAAATGATGCATTATATAAATAAATATGCATACATTTTCAGAGCAGAAATCTGAACATTGGTTCAAAATTCTTGTTTGATTTTCTTGACATATAGACGTTAAAGTTTTTTACTGTTGGGATTTTGTATTTCTCTTTTTATCACTCAGATAAATCAGAAAATACTGTCAACAGACAGAAAAAAACTTTTTTTACTATGTTTTTAGGAGTAAAACGTTGTATAAATCAGTGTGAATGTTTTTTAAACAAACCCCTCAGTAAAACCCTTCAGAATATAGAGAGGAATTAAACTGTAAGTTTTGGTGTATGTAAGTTTTGCTGAAGTGGAGAAAAAAACTAATTGGGTTTAAAGATTTGCATTTTTACCATGTTTTTAGGAGTAAAATGTTGTACAAATCAGTGTGAATGTTATTTAAACAAACCCCTCAGTAAAAACCTTCAGAATATAGAGAGGAATTAAACTGTAAGTTTTGGTGTATGTAAGTTTTGCTGAAGTGGAGAAAAAAACTAATTGGCATTAAAGATTTGCATTTTTACCATGTTTTTAGGAGTAAAATGTTGTACAAATCAGTGTGAATGTTATTTAAACAAACCCCTCAGTAAAACCCTTCAGAATATAGAGAGGAATTAAACTGTAAGTCTTGGTGTATTTAAGTTTTGCTGAAGTGGAGAGAAAAACTGATTGGGTTTAAAGATTTGCATTTTTACCATGTTTTTAGGAGTAAAATGTTGTATAAACCAGTGTGAATGATATTTAAATAAACCCCTCAGTAAAAACCTCCAGAATATACATATAAATAAAACTGCTAAGTCTGGTGTATGTAAGTCTTACTGAAGTGGAGAAACAAACTCATTTTTAGAAAACAGCCTGAAATCTACAGACGCAAAGTGTAATAAAATAAACACTTACATGTATATTTTCGATGCTCTCTGTCTCAAAATTGACTAGTGCATTGATTAACAGGCCACAGCTCAAACACAATGTCTTTTGCTGCTTGAAATACAAATATACACATTTAGATGCCATGATATTCAGCTCATTCAGTGGCCTTCAGTGTTTTCTGCAGTACTTTTGTTTTGTGGTGTAGATTTCAGTCCGCAGGGAGAAGATCTTGTTGAATGCAATTTATCTGGTTAATCAGGTGAACAGAATGGATTATTTTACACGAGAGAGACTTTAACCAACAATGAGACAAAAGAGACGAACTAAATGAGGGCATGTGGAAAACGTCTAGACTGGCTCTCCTCATCTGCCATATAAACTCATTATTACACAGCAGAAAAATTATGTTTTCTTCAATATTTTTTATTTGTTTTCTAGTACAAATATACTGGAGTATAAAATTTACTGGAGAAGCAAAATGAGTTAAGATATTAAGCCTCTTTTTTTAACTTAAACTAAGTTTATGTTTAAATCAAGACTAAATATATGTTAATATAGGGTCAGAAAAATAATACTGGTTTCCCTTTGAGTTAAGTTGATTTTTCTGATCCCATTGACAGATATTTGTTCTCAACTTATAAACATAAACTTTTTTTTTTTCAGAAAACAAGACTTAAATAAAAAAAAAACAATACCTGAATAAACATTTGTATATCTAAATATCTGCATATTTTTAAAGTCCAAACACGCATTAAAACAAAGTCTCTCTTTTCTTTTTCAGCAGAATGATTCATGGTAAAGACTGAAGGTGTTTAATACTCGTGATGTGTTTTAGTCTCTCTGCTTCCACCTTATCAGCACTTCCAGTTTCTGTCTGTCTCTCTTTCTCAACTCGTCTCTCTCTCTCTCTCGGGTACAACGGAACGTATTGTTTGAAACACTAACCAACGGGACAAAACCGACCACTGACAAACATATCTGTGTGTGTGTGTGTGTGTGTGTGTGTGTGTGTGTGTGTGTGTGTGTGTGAGTGTGGCACAATAGCAGCTCATTAATATTCCAAAGTGGATAACGATCCCCCCTCCGCAAATCTCAACCCGCAGTCGTACTTTTCTTTCTTTCTTTCATATCTGTGTGTGTGTGTGTGTGTGTGTGTGTGTGTGTGTGTGTGTGTGTGAGTGTGGCACAATAGCAGCTCATTAATATTCCAAAGTGGATAACGATCCCCCCTCCGCAAATCTCAACCCGCAGTCGTACTTTTCTTTCTTTCTTTCTTTCTTTCTTTCTTTCAAACTCAGGATTGTTTTGTAAGTTTTCACACAGATTTTGTTGTTTTCTTAACCCTAACCTGAGGTTACATCTGATATCTGATAGATCGTTGCACTGCAACACCAAAGTAAGGCATTTGTTTCCCAGAACATGATAAAACGATAAAATGCATTGGATAAAAGCATCATCCAAATGCATTAATAAGAACAACTTCTGTAACGTCTAACAGGCAACTTCTGTAACTTTGTCTTTGAAGTGCTTAATAAACACAAATATTGCAACTGTTACAAAGATGTATCAACTTTATATTTTTTTCATATGCATAAATCAATACTGCAGTGTAAAAAAAATATTATTTGAAATTGTAAATAAAACAAAGATTATTGAAGTACATTTTACAAGAAAATACTATTTCAATTTTTCTACTTCAGAATTTCACATTTAATTCAATATGTTACTTTCAGTTTTTTTGTAATTTTCTGGGAAGTCTGCTATCAGTTTCTAGGTGAAAATTGTTGCAAAGTTAATCCAACAGTAATGGGTTTTTTTTTCAGTGTATTGAGAAAACATATCAATCTGTTAGGAGGAACACGTGAATGTGAACAGGTTGCATGACGTATGCAGCACCTGTTGTTCAGAAGTTTAATCCAAATTCTGAACTCTTTAACCAGGAGCTTCATCAACCCCATTCATAAAGTTGAGGTTGCATGGGTGCATGTGAAATCCAGCAACTTACCTTGTCATTCAGAGAGCTGCGAGGCTGCAGTTAACACATGCGCTCAGGAGTTCAGAAGCTGAGATTCATCAGATTCTACATTCAGGTTTGCTGATCTCAGCTACATGTTGATGTTCAGTAAACAAACTTTACTAAACAAGTTACTAAACAGAAACTCTGCAGAATGACTGAATCTCTCAGGAGCAAATGACATGCTTTTATAAACGGGCCCATCTCTCTCTCTCTCTCTCTCTCTCTCT